TCTCTCTCTCTCTCTCTCTCTCTCTCTCTCTCTCTCTCTCTCTCTCTCTCTGTGTCTGTCTGTCTGTCTGTCTGTCTGTCTGTCTGTCTGTCTGTCTGCCTGTCTCATGTAGCCCAGGCTGGCCTGGAACCCACTCTCCCCTCCAACTTGAGGTCTTCCTTTCTCAGTCTCCCTATCCACAGAATGAGGGTGAGAGCAATGTCACTACGGCTATCACGGGAGGCAATAGACTGGCCACCAGTCCTCCCACCACCACCTTCTTGGTGGTGTGGCACTGGACCACCACGACGACACCGCACACTCATGCCGCCCAAGCAATGCACACGGTTCCTGTAACAGTGAAGAGCTGCCAGGGCTGCAGGCCGAGGGCTGCAGCTGAGGTCCCAGTGCTGTTCTCTCCCCTGCTCTTCCTGCTGCTCGCATTTCAGAGGCAGAGGAGAGCCGCTGACCCAAACTGCTGTGGAGGCTCTGGTGCCCTGAGCTGCCGCAGACCCTGGGAATGTAAGACTGAGTGGAGCCTTCCAGGGATCTGCAGGGGTGACTTGAGCAGAGGACAGAGCACAAAAGGGAGTGCCTGGAGCCAGAGGAGTGGGGGGAAAAAAAGCAAAAGCCAGGAGGGAGCTGAACTAAGACGAAACTGACAGGACCTGGATTGTGATCCCCGTTCTACCTGAGGAGACTGGAGTGCCTGGCTCCCACCTCAGGAGGTAGCGCGACCTCCTGGGCTCTGAACACAGACGGGGTGAATGAGAGAGACCCACAGACATCCGCATGTCTAATGTCCCCCTTTTCAGGGACATCAGTCACACACATGCTAGATCCAGGTTTGAAATTTGGCTCCAAACTAAATCGCTGTGCGACCTTTAACGGGTCACTTTAACTCTCTGAGCCTCTTTTTTCTCTCACACACACCCAATATCTAAGCGCAAGATCATTATTTGGGCGGCGGGGGTGGGGGTGGGGGATCCTATGTAGCCCAGGCTGGCCTGACTTTGCTATGTATCCAAAGATAACTGTGAACTCCTCATCCTCCTGCCTCCACCCTCCCCCAAGTGCTGAGGTCGCAAACACATGCCACATCCCAGCTCCAAGCAGCTTATCTTCAGATGTCCACAGAGTGCCCGTGCCGTGCCGGGGTGGCTAGGGTTCCTTTTCATTTGCCTCCTACTCAGAGGGACACAATGGCCAAGACCCTCCTCCCCTCTGGCTCCTCCAGAGGGGCCACCTGGCCCCCAGAGGGAGAGGGGACACCTGCCTCATCTGAGCTCATCAACGCAGAAAGGGATGAGAGACAGATGTCACCCTCAGCCTGCCTTGCCTCCAAACATCTTGACTATTGTTTCTCAGATTGACATGTGAGCCAGGCCTCAAAAGCGGGGGGGGGGGTCCCCCTGGGAACAGAGGGCTGAGCCTCAAGCTATTCACTGGCCCATTGAACCTGCACAAAAGGCCCAGTGCCCTGAAGCGTACTGTGCAACAGCAGAAGGTCACCCTGAAGGGCGGCACAGCCCCATACAGGTGCCGCAGGAGTGAGCTGGGCCAGCAGGTGCGTAACGGAGTCTGTCCTCAGTCTGGGCGCCCGACACTGGTTCACAGCCAACAGCCCCCCACACCCAAGAATAGGACCCCACACGACAGCTGAAGAGATCGAGCTGGGAAACTCCTTCCTGACTCGGACATGGGTGGGGAGGATTCACACACAGACCTCGCTCTCAGCCCTTTCTCTCCCTCCTTGACGACTCCGATGAGTAAACTTGGGGGTGGTGTGAACTGGGCTGGGGAAAGCCATGTACTACAAGAAGAACGGACCCGGGGAGGGTTAGAAGAAGGGAGAGCGTCTGAGAGCCAGGCAGGCTTCTCCGGAAGCCCGGACTCCACAGCATTTCCCGTCACTTCGTGAGGCGAGTTTCAGTGAAAATGAAATTTTCTCTTGTGGTCTGTCTTTTCCGACACTTAACAATTACTGTTAGTTTTCTTAAATCTAGGAAGGTAGATTTCAAGAAAAAAAAATGTACCCAAATTATAAATTAAAAAACAATAAATTGAGGCAGGGTGTCGTGATGTAACCCAGGTTAGCTTAAATGTATGTTCCTTACCCAGGTATGGAGGTGCAGGCCCAGGCCTTTAATCCCAGCTCTTGGGAGGCAGAAGCAGATGGACCTCTGTGAGCTCCAGGCCATCCTGGTCAGCAGAGTGGGACCCTGTCTCAGGAAAAAAAGAAGGAAAAAAGTGATCCTCCTGCCTCAGCCTCCCAAGTGTTGAGATGGCAGGGGTGAGCTGCCAGCCGGACTTTTACATGGTCTTTCCCTCCCTCCCTCCCTCCCTCCTTTCCTCCCTCCCTCCCTCCCTCCTCTCTTCCTTTTTTGTTTTGTTTTGTTTTGTTTTTGAGACAGGGTTTCTCTGTGTAGCTTTGCGCCTTTCCTGGAACTCACTTGGTAGCCCAGGCTGGCCTTGAACTCACAGAGATCCGCCTGGCTCTGCCTCCCGAGTGCTGGGATTAAAGGCGTGTGCCACCACCGCCAAGCTCCTTCTTTTTTTTTTTCTCTTTCATCCCATCCTCTCTGTCTGTCTGTCTTTCTCTCTCCCCCCTCCCTCCCCCCCCCTTCCTTTTTCCTTCTTACACAGGATCTTACTAACCCTGACTGGCTCAAACTCGCTTTGTAGCCTAGGCTGTTCTCCAACTTGGCATCCTCCTGCCTCAAGCCACCAAGCTCTGAGACTGCAAGGACCATGCCTGGCTAACACTCATTTTTTTATGCAAGGTAAAAAGAGGTTGCCTTCACCCTGCTGGGAAGGATTCCGGGTACTTCTTTGGGGCCCTGAAGATGTCAGATGCGCCCCCCTCCCCCTCCGAGCGCGAGCGCGCCCTTATTTGGGGGGGGGGGTCGTTTTCTGCAAGGTCAGCATAGGGCGGACTTCAGAGCCATGCTCAACCGCAATGGACATAAAAGGACACGATGTGTAGGGCGGGCAGGAGATAAGGTTGCTAACAGAATTCTTTCGATGGGGTGGGGTGAGTTCAGTGTCTTCCCAAAGCAGGGAGCAGATGGAGCTACCCCAGGAACCTGTTTGCCGCGACTGCTACTGGATTGGGGAGGTCCCAGGGGATCCCCCTCTGGGAGCAGGAGACATACTGAGCACCTCCAGATGCGCAGCCCCGCCCCAGATGTGCTGACGCAGCGTGGGGCCACGTGGCGGGACACCGGTTCACTTGCGGGGAGCCCCCGGAGTGTGGGCCCCTGTCTGCGGAGTGGGGTTACTCATCCCTGCCCGAGGCTCTCCTGGGAAGAGCGCTCTGGGGAGACAGCGAGGTTGCGCCCAGCTCAGCGCAGAGAGAAAAACAAACCTGCTTCCAGCAAGTTCTCGCTCTGCGCTCGCTCCCCGCGCCCCTCCCTCCAGCAGGTGGGGGCGTTTTCCTGGCGCGACTCCGCTCTGCAGTGGGGTGTGCGCGCCAGCAATCCCAGGCGGCTGGCGGTCTGCGCTGGGAGCCTGGGATGAGAGTGGGGAGGCCGGGCTCCCCGGAATCCCTCTGTCCAAGAAATAATCTCCCTCGTGCCGGGGATGAGGGAGGTCTGGACCTTTCCCTCTCAAATCCCCAGCCTCTGCAGAGAACGTCTCAGAGCCTGGGAGGGTTGGGGAACCAAGCTCTTGGGGTTGCTCCAGACCGTTTTGGAGATACCACATGAGCTTCAGAGTCCGTCGTGTCTGGACTCAAAAATCACTAGCTGTGTGACCTTGGACAGGCTGCTGCCCCTCTGTCTGGACTTCCTTTTCCTCATCTCTAAAATGGGTTCTTACCACCTGGCGGGGCTGTGGTGCCAAAGCGGTGCCTCCCCGAGGATGTGCAGTCACCATCGAGAGCGATGTCGCAATGAGGGTGCGGAGATGCATTCGGTTTGAAGCTGCACTGGACGCCCCAGGTCTGGGATGAGTCCCAGGAGTGGAGGAAGGGTAAGGGCTGGGCGTGAGGGAAGGAGAGCCAGGGACACCATCCGCTAACCCACCCTCCATGGTGAGACCTCCTGGGCGCAGTCCTCAGCCTGGGCAGTTACCTGCTAACCTGTGGGTTGGTGTGTACTGGGTCCCCACGCCCATGTGCACCTAGCTCTGGGGGAAGGGAAGGGTCTTTGTTCCCCCTCAGACCATAACTGCGAGACCCCCCCCCTCCCCGAGCACCCTCCGCGTCTCCATCCCCACGACCCATCCACTGAAGCCTCACATCGGGCCATTGCGGGTTGGGGGTCGCGTCACCCACCCAGCGCGGGCCACCACTGCCCTGGGACTGTGAGACCCCCGTCGCCCTCCTAGGAATCAGGTGCGCCCGGCGGGGAGTGAGAATGGCGACCCCGGCTTACCTCGGCTCCTCGCTCCTGCGGCTGGAGTGCAGAGGGCTCTTTGTGCCCGGCTCTCAACAGAACTGGGGGAGCCCCTGCAAGCGCCTCCCCTCGTAAACTCCTCCCCGCACTGGTCCGCAGCCTCCCTCCCTACGGCCCCCCAGCGCAGCCGGCGTCGTCTTCGCATTTACTGCAGCGCCCATGAAATTTTAATGCAGGAGCGAGCGGCTGGCGGGCAGAGAGAGAGGTGCCGCACCCGGCCTCGGGGATGGGGGTGGGGGCGCCCCCGACAAACACCCAGCTTGCGGTCCGTGGCTTGGGGCAGCGAGACGTGGGGTGTGCATCTCTCCCCCACCCCTGCTCCCACCTCCCCACCTCCGCTTCACAAAGGGGCTACTGCGCGCCTCAGCCTCAGCAGCCCTGCCTGTAGCGTTGCCATAGCAACGCTGGCCAGTGGAGAGGCGCACACCACCGTCGGTCGGAGGCGCAGCCACCGACCTGGTGCTGAAGCAAGAGAAGCCCAGCCTTGGATCCCAGAAGGGGACCTTAGCCCCGCGGGGCTGGGGCGTGGCTCCCCGGGGAACTACCAAGCAGACCCATGGTAAGGGCGGCGGCAAGATTCGAACCCGAATCTGTGGCAGACGTCTATAGTTTTGGCATCTGCTTGGCCTGCACTCCTTGGCACAGATTATGATCTCCACGGGGGTCCTAAAGGGTCGCCAGGAGCTTTTTGGTTCCGTGATGCTCCCCCGGCCAGCGCCATCCACACCCTTGAGACCATGATGTAACTGTCACCTCCTAGGCCCCACTGTAGTGCCACTGAACCGAAACTTACGAAATGGGACCACTAGGCAATTCTAAGACCCCTTCCAGATGAGCAACTGTGGTGCTAGAACATTCCACCGACTTCGAGAACCGGCACTGGTCCTCGGCTTAAATTCCAGCTCTGACCATGCCCTTGACCAGATGTGACCAGATGTGCATGAGTGTCTCCTCGAACTGGGTCTCTATCCCTTTCCAGTCTGGGGAGGCGCTAAACAGGGGAGGGGCACCCAGCGCAAGATGGCACTGGGGGGTGGGGGGAGGGGCAAGCCATTCTCCTGATTAAGCTAGCTCACCTTTCGTTTTCTTTTTAAATCTTTTAAAACTTCCTTTAGTAGGGTTGGGTAGGCACAGCTCACACAGTGTGCCTGCGGGGCTCCGAGGACAACAGAGTGTGATCTCTTCTCCCACCTGGTAGATCCGGGGAATGGAATCCATCTGGGGTCAGGCTTAGCAGCCAGTGGCCCTCGGAGCTGTCTCCCTGGCCAGCCCTCACCTTTCATTTTCTTACATTTGGGTATCTATTGAGTGTCACTGCTCACGTCCAGAGGCCGTGAGAGGTGAGGGTAGCTGCACACGTGAGGGACCCACGAGAGATTCGAACTCGCGATTCCAGGCCATTGTCATGCACATCTCTCCCTGAGAGCCCCCAGCCTGCCCTTCAGCAGACCCGCAAGCTCGCCTCCGATGTGCCAGAGCTGGAGGTCAACACAGGATAACCGATGGCACCAGTGTGGCCTTGGACACCCCACTGCCGGGGACGAAGCGCTCACATGGGCCAATTAGCAAATCAAATGTGCTTGGTCATGATTCCTAGAGCAGAGCACCTGACCTTGGCTTCCCCTCCTGACCTGCCATGGTATAAGCCGAAAGGTTGGCAGTGAACAGGGAGGGTGCACACAGGCGGCCTCTTTCTTCTCTGAGGCTCCCAAGCAACCCCTGTCGGCCTTGTTGCTGTAGTCAATGACCTGACAGACCAACCTAAGGAAGGAGGGTTTGTTTCGCCTCCTGGTCTGAGGGTACAGTCCAGCACGGTGTCTCGAGAGGGCGCGGCTGCAGGAGTGTGAGGCGACTGGTCACACTTCATCTGCCGCCGTCAGGAAGCAAAGAGGGGTGAGGGCCACCGCCCAATTCGCTTTCTCCTTCTTATTCAGTCCCCAGAATCCAGCCCATGAGATGCAGCGGCCTACACCCAGGGTGGGTCTTCCCTCCTGGGTCAAACCTCTCTGGAAGCATCCTCACAGGCACTCACAGGGCGGGTGTGTGTGTGTGTGTGTGTGTGTGTGTGTGTGTGTGTGTGTGTGTGTGTATCTCCCAGATGACTCCAAATCCAGACAGGCTGACCATGCTGAAGATGAAACTGTCAAATGTCTTTCTCAAACCGTGTTCTTGAGTCCTCTCCCAGCCCAGTCTCCAATACCCATCTGGGGAAGACTCGAGGCACCTGCCTACCGCTGCCTTACTTCTCCTGCCCCCATCCATCTTAGTTCTTTCAAAAATCAGCGGTGTGTCTGTGGTCCTGCTTGCCAGCGTCTTCACAAGTGGACAGGGTGGAGGGCAGCAGTGCACACCGTTAGGGGATGCTGTGGGCTCTGGGTGAAAGAGATTGTGGTTAGCACGAATAGACTCTAGGTGAGAGGTAAACAGAGAGGTGTGATGAGGGGAGAGACCCCATGTCCAGCAGCCCCCCAAGCCAGCCTGGGCTGGCCGGATGTCCTCTGCCCACGGTCCTCCATCATGGTGTCCTTCTTCATCTAGTCCTCCTGCGGATGCACTTGAACCTTTGACCTCCCTTTGTTCATCTGCTGAAAACCAAACGGAGTGTGGCACACTCTACTCCCCGCCCTCCAGCCAGCATGGCTCTGTGGAATTCCCGGACAGCCTGGCAGCGAGAGGTGGGATCCAGCCCACCTCCCCACCTTGGTAGCTCTGACCCCGCGGCTCATTGCCTAAGTAGAGACGGTGAGTGAACACAACCAACATCACCACTGCTCGCCAAAGATCCTGACTTACAGGAGAGGTTTACAGATGCAGCTACCTTGAGCCGTAAGGGTCCCTGAGCAGACCCACTCCCCAAGACACTAGCCCGTACCCCCTGGCCTACCTTTCATTAAAGTGACCCCAGCCAACCCTTGTTGGGGGCTGGTTGTCGGGACAACAGGAGGAGAGGCACCATCAGACTTCAAAAGATGCCCTTGAGAATAAAACAGGCACCCTAATCTGGACCTGGTGCCCAACCCTTCACATGAGACACTATGGCTTCAAGGAAGCAACCCATGATTCCAGGGGGACTCTGACCATGGCGATGTGTCTAAGAAAGAAGAAACAGACGAGTGTATTCTTTCTTCAACCCTAAAGGGATGGCCAGAGGACAGCGCCTGTCAAGTCCCTGCGGCTAATTCCAGGTCCCACCATCCCCTTCAGAAGCAGTGAACTCCAGTTTACGTCCACACCCTTGTAGGGCACCGTTCTGAGTGCTTTGCCCTCATTCCTTCCTCCAACCCTCAGAGAAACTGCTGGCATCATCTCTGCTAGACACACAAAGTCTGGAAGACTCCGAGAGAGCAAACGGCTTACCTGGGGCGAGCCAGCCAGGAAGTGAGTGGCAAGGCCGTGAGGGGAACAAAGCTCTCTGGGAGCATCTGCACCCATGCTCGGCCCGTTGTCCCCGGGGAAGCAAAGAGCCACACACAGCTGAGCATGGATGCATGGTTGTGCTGCAGTCCTTCCCAGGCGCAGGCACAGCCCTGAAGTTAACCTCTGCCTCCCTTCAGAGGGAACATGGGCTCAGGGTTGTCCCCAGAGCAGCAGGCGGTCTCCACGATGCTCACTGCTTCATGTCCTCTCTGGGGTGGGTACATCTTGGCTCACACCTCCACGTGAAAAGTCACTCGCTGTCACGTTGGGACACACGGTTCTCACCAGGAGGGAAGAGAATCCTCACACTTGTGCAGCATTGAGCACTCCTACCCACGGGGGCATCCCTCCCTCCAACCCTGATCCTAGCTGCTTACACAGAGGGTCACGCCTCGGATTGGGTCATGTAACCGGATGTGAATTCACACAAGGAACTGGCATCAGGAAGAGGTTTCCGAAGTGCAAAGGTTAAAAACGGATCCGAAACCAAACACGTAAGACTCCGAGATGCTTCTGGCAGCGCCCCGCGTTGTGTCTCACCAGCTTGGCGCTAAACACACGACGCACACACCACACACACACACACACACACACACACACACACACACACCTAATTTAAAGTAAATAAATAAATGAAATCTTTAAAAAATATTTTTTTCATTTGTGTGTGTGTGATACGTATACGGGTGTTTTGCATACATGTAGCTCACCGTGAGGGTGCATATCTATGGAGGGGTCCACGTGTGTGACTGTGCGTTCGTATGTGTGTAGAGGCCCCAAGGTTGATTGGGAACCATCCTCAATTGCTTTTCCTACTTATTCATTGAGACAAGGATTCTCAATCGAACTCAGAGTTCACCAATATGGCTAGACGGCTTGCCCCGGGCATCCCTTCTGTGGCTGGAATTATAAGCCAGGAGCAATGTCCACCACCCAGCATTTTTTTGGGTTCCAGGGATCCAAACTTCAGTTCTCACCTGTGCACAGTGAGCTCTATAACCACTGGGCTATCTCCTCAGCCTGGACATTAATTTATCTGTGATGTGTCTTTGGTGATTGCTTCCTTTGTATACCTATTTCCCATCTTTCCACGCAGGATCGGGTGAACATTTCTCAGGTGAAAGGGTCACGAATGGGAGAAGCTTGAGAAGCCCTGAGGTGGACCACAGTGCTGCTGGTGGAAACATCCAGATCCAAGCTGCCTGCGCTGGCTCTGCCTCGGTGACCTGCTCGACACATCACATGGGTACCATTGTGTCACACGTGGAGGCAGGAGAGACATCAGAGACTTAGTTTGCTCTCTCTCTCTCTCTCTCTCTCTCTCTCTCTCTCTCTCTCTCTCTCTCTCTC